TATTCAACCTATACATATTCTTGTTACCCTTAGAGTACCTCCTGAGTGTCTCTCTTTAAAAGCTATATTTCTATTAATCCACTTTAAAGATTACAAATGAAATATGTTTAGTGAAGAGATAATATTTATAAATAAAAATATGGGAGGGAAGATAGGCTGTAATTCCATGTCCCTCATTTAACCACTGCTAACATATTAGACTGCTTTCCAGTATAATATATATATTTGTAAAAAGAAAAGTGGACTCTCCAAAAATGCAATAAGCAAAATGCTATCATTAAATGAGAAAAATCAAACCTTTGTGCCTATTCACATAGAGAACTTCCCAAGCACCTGAGAACTTTACCTTCAGTTCACTATGTATCAGCTTGTTGCCATATCTTAGCTGCTATTTTACATTATAATGGCATGGTAAAGAAGAGACAAAACTGTTGTTTCCCTGCTGACGATGTAATCAATACACACCTGTTTTCTGCTGGGAAAACTGCAGCAGTAGATGTGGTGGCATTTTAGCCTGTAAGACGGTGACAAAATAGCATGCTGGAAACACAGGAATTTGACAAACTTTCACATACTGTTTGCAAATTGAACACAAGCTGTGGGATGCTGGCATATGTTACAATTTCCATGATGACAGATTATGAGGCTTCAGGTAAAAGTTAGAATCATTCATGGAAAAAAAGAGGAAACCCAGTCATGAGACAAAGCTATAAGATGTATATATACTTCATGTTTTCTAATATCTTCCAAATATATTTATTTTAATATGAAGTTTCTTCTAAAAGCAAAAAAGTTGTCTTTTATTGTATCTTTTATAATATCTATAAAAAATCCATTAAAGTCTTTTATAATATCTATAAAAGTAGGGGTGTAAAATACATTATACTTTTTCTTGAATTCTTGGTAAAATATATTACAAAATTAAAAGGTCTAAATATGATATTTTGAATAATTTTTTAATTTTTTTAAAAAATAGTTATTTAAGCAATGCATATGTAAAGAGATGCTGTATCTGAATGTAGTTACACCATCAATTACTCTTCCTGCAAATTAGGATTATTGTCTATATTGTTAGTCTATTTCATACAAAATTGAACAAATTGGCCACATGATCAAATAGTTTCTTATTTAGAACAAAAAGAAATTATTATTGAGTTTTTGCTCAACTATTCTTCGTCATTTGCTGAGTATGTGTTTAAAGAATGTTATCATTTTAATTTTATGATGAAGGGAAATCCAATAGCATTTTAGAAGCTATTAAAATTATTATTTGCATTGCCAATTTTTGTAAATATTCTTCTTCATTAGTAATGACAAATAAAATTTCAATTTTTTATATATTTGTAATACATTTATTGATTTATTAGTCAGTAACTTTTCTTCATATATTATCATACAAAAATAATGTCTCTTTGTTTTCTAGCTCTAATTAAGTTGATCTGAAGGCAATCTCCAACCAAAACTATGGTATTTTGAAAGAATTACCTTGGTACTGGGAATCATATAAAATTATGACTTTAACCTTATTTTTTTTCTGGAAAAAGAGCACAGATTTTATAGTTACTTTTTGTTATCTTGTAGGTTGTATTACAATATTTAATTTAGTTTTTATTTATACAGTTTGTATAATGCCATTTTCTCCAGTATTAAATAATAAAGTGGTTTAGAATGTGAAGCTAAAAATTCTAAATGCACATGATTCTGTTTACAGCAGGAAGTCATCAGTGCTTCTGTAAGAAAAAAGAGAAGGAAACCTGAGATAACAAAAAGCACTTTTAGCTTTCCCTTTTGAAAGTTTGTGTTGTGTATAATAAAAAAATCAATCACCCAAGTGGAGATGACAGAAGATAGAGCCCCAAACATTTCTCTCATTCCAATTAGCCAGCTGACCTGTCCATCATTTACAATTTATATTCTGCTATTTATTGAAAGGCTAAATAATAATGCTGTTGAATTTTCACATATGTCTCATAAATCTAGCTCCTTGGATGATGCCTTCCCTGACTCATTCCTATTTTTCAAGTATTTTGCTCACATGAAATTGTTCTTGTTCATTATTTGCCCTTGGTTTTGTTGGACTTGTCTAACTTCCTGAAATAGAATGTAAAAATTCTTAAAGCAAGTGCCCTTTTCTGTCTGTGCATCAGTGCTGCAGTCCATGCGGTCACAGAGTAGGACATGACTGAGCTGGTCCAAAGAGTTGGAACTGGACTGAACTGAATGTTAAAAATTTAAAACGTATTTTAGAACTTGACCCACATTGTCTGTACTATGTAACTTTATTTTGACCAACCTGTGGCCATTTAATGTAACACTCTTGTCAATAAGAATACTATCAAAATCCAGGCTAAATCTCTAGGGCCACTAAGAGTTCCAGTCAGTCTTGTTGACAAGACTAATCTGTATCTTCTCTATCACTTTCCCCACCGTGCTTATTTAGAGATGAAGGATAAAGCCATAATCTGAGACTCAGATATTTATCTGTCTGTGTTTATGCTTACTTCCCTTGAATACCCTGTAGTAAAAGAATTTAGAGTAGAAATTCTAGATTCTTAATACTGTATGGAAGGAAAATATCATCTAAAGAAAATTATTCTTGAAAAATCTATGAATCCATAAGATTACACTCTTACATATCATCCTACAATAAATCCAAACCATCTAGTTTTCCTTCCAGTTTGAAAAAGACTACTGTTTCTTCAGTTAAGAGTTAGAAGATACAGTTGGTTTGTGTTTAAGGGTCATTTTGGTTAAAATATGAATGTTAAACACGAGAATTGCACTTACTATTTTATCACACACTACCAGAGGGCATATCTGTATTCATGACAGCCTCAAATCTTACTTCTAGGTGCATACGTCAATTGAGTGAAAAAGTGGGAATAAATGCTTACACAACTAAACTGATTGTCTCTCAGGAGTAGAATTCAGCTTCACCCTAATGTATCAGGGTCCTTTAAGACTTGATCAAAAAAGAAGAGATAATAACTTTGCTTGCCTTGAATCAGGTAATTATGAGATTGAACAAAGCAGTAATAGCAGCTTACACAGAACTACCCTTAGTGGCCCTCGTCTGTGTTCATTTTGACGCGTTCAGCTGGCCAGCTTATATCTGACTTGTGTTCAGTCCATCTCTACATTCTTAAATCCAACTGTCTTGGGATCTAACTCTGCCAAGCCTTGGTCTACACCATCTGCTCTGACTGACTGCCAGGATTCCCGGCTGCCCCAACAAGCCTGCAGAGACATTCTGGTCTTTATGTCTTCTGAGAGTATTTGAGGTTTCCAAGTAGATGACTCTCAGATAAGTGAAGTATTGCAGTGTCCCAATTATAGAACATAACACTTCTCTTCCGTTGATTATGATGTGATCTCTAACTATAAAAATCTGTCACCTGAAGTATGTCACTTTGTTTTGTGTGACAAAATTGACAATAAACGTTGACAAACGGCAGCATATATAGAGTAGACCAGCAGAGCAATGTTAATTCTTGGAACTATAAGAAAAAGTGTCTAAGGAAACTGACATGTGGGGCCTGGAAAACAGAATATCAATGAATAACAGACTATAATAATAACAGGAGACAGTGACTTCATCTTCAAATGAAAAACACAGTTCAAAGAATGAGGGAATTCTTTTAAAGAGTCTACACTCTTACTGAGTGTTCATCGATGAAAACCTGTAACTGTTGTCAGTTCAGTTTAACAGGTGCTTTCAAATCTTCAAACACTTCATGGTTTTATGGACTGGAGTTTCTTCTTGCCAAAACAAGGTTGGGAGAGGGGAAGTGAGAGATCCAAAGACAAAACTACAAAAAGGAAGCTCAAAAATATTAAGAATATTAGAAGAATACTATCAAGATACAATATTTATTAGAGCACATACAGCAAACTAGGTCCATACTCTGCAGTGATTATGTAAGAGAAAAGCATTATGGTTAAAAAAAGAGAAATATGATAGTTGGAATTCATAATGTACTAATCATTAATAGCTAGTGAATTTCTGAGTATTTCTCTGCACCAAATAAAGGATGGTTTAATGCTTTTCATGTAAGTATATATAGAACAAATTGTAACTCTCTAAATAAAAGATTATTATTAGTAACAATAATAAAGAACACTATGTACCTTAAACATAACACAATTGATTTCAGTCTTTTGTCTCCTAAGTTCTTTCATGAAAGATTTTATCTACATCATCAGAGAGATGTTCTGTAGCTAAAAGTTTAAATCTAATTTATCCAGTTTCTAAAAGTGCTATAAATTATCACTTAATAATAAATATTTAATTAGAGCAGCCTGCTATTTATTTTTAAAAACCTGATTCTTAGCCAGTATATATTCCAAAGATGGTATAAAATTTTACCTCCTGTCCCAACAAAACAAAAAATCCTCAGTATATTTTTCTACTTACTTTATTTATTCTTCAAATATATATTAATTAAGCATGAATTTTGAGACAGACTCAATCATCTGTAAGTATGATATGCTATGAATGCTTGCTTTATGGAAATCAAGTGGGGATCAGTTCTCTCCATTTCTGTAGAAGGAAGATTGATTATTGCTCAGAATTAGTGAATGCTAGGCACTTTAATATTCCACTTTAATTACTCAGAGTTTTTTGAGGTTATTCTCACCTCCTATTATGGAATGAGTGTGTTATGAGGAAATAAATGGAACTTTAGATTCTGGATTGCAAATATGAGGAGGCACATTTATACCTGATATCACAGTCTACCAAGCACCAGATGTAAAAGACATTGTGCATTATTGAGTAACAAGATATGACCTTGTACTTGTCCCACTTTGGGAGGAAAAATGGAACTAATATGACATTGATTTAAGCAGTTAATAAATGATATTTTACATATTCCTTTGCAAGGAAGATGAGTAAATGAATGAAAGGAAGACTGAGTGAACTAATCATTTAAGAGGGATCATCAAAGTTGAGAGATTATTTTTGCCTTTTACATACAATGCTTATTATTTTTCTTTTATAGACAATCCTTATTTTTCCCTTAAAACATGTAATCTGATGCTGAAAATGGAAACTAAGGGAGGCAGATAAGAGGTTGAAAAACAGACTAACAGCAAATAACAGGAAGATGCTGGATCCTGATACCACTGGAACTTCTATTAACATCCTCAGTTTTCAACCTCCAGAATCCTTTTAGGTAAGAGAAACTAAATCTGTATCTTGAAATTTTCACTATTATTTTGTATTTTAAAAAGCATATATTCTAAATGATAGAGTATCAGAAAGACAGCAGGACTAAAGAAACAGTTTGTGTTAACATTTTTAAAGGAAAAATTAAAATTTTTTCCCTTAAAAATTTTTAAGTGAATTTTTAAACAAGGACAGATATTAGCATCTCATTAACAGTGGTATACTTTTTGGGGAGTTAATTTTTATAGAAAAATGTTAAATAATTGGTGGATATACATTTTCTATCATTTTAGATTATTTAAGAAAAGCAATTTTTTCTGTTGTTTTGATAAAATTTAGCACAAAGGTATTTTAAAAAAAAGTGACTGGATCACCATAGATACAAAATAGTACCAAATAATAGTCTTAGTAAGACCCTGGTTCTTTTACCATAGAAGAAGAACGTAACATGTCAAGTTGGTCGACATAACTTGTACTGAAAACACAGTCTGAGTCTGAATGCAGAGTTCCAAAGAATAGCAAAAGTTAAGAAATAGAGGAAAACAATAGAATGAGAAAGACTAGAGATCTCTTCAAGAAAATTAGAGATGCCAAGGGAACATTTCCTGCAAAGATGGCCACAATAAAGGACAGAAACATTAAGAACCTAACAGAAGCAGAAGAGATGAAGAAGAGGTGGCAAGTATATACAGAAGAAGTGTACACAAAAAGGTCTTAATGACCCAGATAACCACAATGGTGTGATCACTCACCTAGAGCCAGACATCTGGAGTGTGAAGTCAAGTGGGCCTTAGCATCTTAGGAAGCATTACTACAATCAAAGCCAGTGTAGGTGATATAATTGGAGTTGAGCTATTCCAAACATAATAATAATAATAAACCTATGCTGTTAAAATGCTGTACTCAATATGCCAGCAAATTTGGAAACTCAGCAATGGCCACAGATCTGGAAAAGATGTGCTTTCATTCCAATTGCCAAGAAGGGCAATGCCAAAGGATGTTCAAACTACCAGACAATTGTGGTCATTTCACAAGCTAGTAAGGTAATGCTCAAAATCCTTCAAGCTAGACTTCAGCAGCCTGTGAACCAAGAACTTCCAGATATTCAAGCTGGATTTAGAAAAGGCAGAGGAACCAGAGGCCAAATGGCCAACATCCATTGGATCATAGAAAGAACAAGGGAATTAAAGTAAATAAAAACATCTAATTCTGCTTCACTGACTGCACTAAAGCTTTTGACTGGGTTGCAACAAACTGTGAAAAACTCTTCAAGAGATGGGAATACTGGACCACCTTACCAGCCTCCTGAGAAACCTGTAGCCAGGTCAAGAAGCAACAGTGAGAACCAGACATGAAACAACAGACTGGTTCAAAATTGTGAAAGCAGTATGTCAAGACTGTTTCTGGTTACCTTACTTATTTAATTTCTATGAAGAGTACATCATGTGAAATGCTGGGATGGAGGAACCATAAGCTGAAATCAGGAATGCCAGCAGAAATATCAACAATCTCAGATATGCAGATGAAACTACCCTAATGGCAGAAAGTGAACAGGAGGTAAAGAGCCTCTGGATGAAGGTGAGAGAGTAAAAAAGCTGACTTAAAACTCAGCATTCAAAAAACTAAGATCATGACATCTGATTTCATCATTTCATGGCAAATAGATGGGGGAAAAAATGGAAATAGTGACAGACTTTATTTTCTTGGGCTCCAAAATCACTGCACATGGTGACTGCAGCAATGAAATTAAAAGATACTTGCTCATTGGAAGAAAAGCTATGAAAAAATTAGAGTATTGAAAATCAGAGATATCACTTTGCTAACAAAGGTTCATATAGTCAAAGCTATGGTTTTCCCAGTAGTCATGTACAGGTGTGAGAGCTGGACAAAAAAGGCTGAGCACTGAGGAATTAATGCTTTTGAACTGTGGTGTGGACAAGATTCTTAGGGAGTCCCTTGGACAGCAAGAGGATCAAACCAGTCAATCCTAATGGAAATCAACCTTGAATATTCATTGGAAGGACTGTTGCTGAGGCTGAAGCTCCAATAATTTAGCTACTTGATGGGAAGAGCCAATTTATTGGAAAAGATCATGATGCTGGAAAAGATTGAGGGCAGGAGGAGAAGGGGACAACAGAGGATGAGATGGTTGGATGGCATCATCGACTTAATGGACATGAGTTTGAGCAAGCTCTGAGATGTGGTGAAGGACAGGAAATCCTGTCTTGCTGCAGTCCATGGGATTGAAAAGATTTGGGAATGACTTAATGACTGAACAACAATCCAAGTCTATATGAGTATTTAAATACCATAAATACTGGCTATAACATATGCATTATTAAAAAAAAATAACAGGTTGTATTTCCCCTCTACATTAAGAAGATTATTATAGCTTGCAGTTTAAAGTACTAATAACCACAAATTTTCTTTTGGGATAATTTCTCATTCCTTATAGAAAATGAAGCTTCCCTGTGGCTCACATTAGTCTATTCATTTTGGCATCCAATTTAAAATAATAGTTGCATAGTTATTATTGCTACTAACATGAGTAATTAAAATCATTAGAATAATTACAAACTAAGTATTTTAAGAGTTCCTGCTAGTTTCTCGGCATAAAAATTATTCATAAGAATTTTATGATAGGCATTGAAAACTGAAAGTTACTTAGTCGTGTCCTAAGTCTTTTTGATCCCATATACTGATGGCCTTCCAGGCTCCTCTCTCCATGGGATTCTCCAGGCAAGAATACTGGCATGGGTAGCCATTTCCTCCTCCAGGTATCTTCCCAACCCAGAGATCAAACCCAGGTCTCTTGCATTGCAGGCAGATTTTTTGCCATCTGAGCCACCAGGGAAACCCCACAAATTTTAATGACCTTTAGTAAATACACAGAGATGTGTGTCTCTTCCACCACAGTCAAGATAAGCAACAATTCTACTACCCCTGGGAAATTTACTTGTGTTGCCATTTTATAATCAATCCCTCTCACATTCCCAATCACAAGCAACCACTGCATTTATATAAATGGAATAATTCAATATTTAGCCTTTTGAATCTGGCCACTTTCATTAAAATACCATGTAGGTTCATCTATCCAATTGCATGTATTAACAATTTATTCCTTTTAACAGTTAAATAGTATTCTATTATATAGCTATACCACTGTTTTTATCCAATCACCAGTTAAACTAAAAAAAAATTATAAAGAAAGCTACTATAAATATTTGTATAGAAGTTTTTGCATGAGCAAAAACCATTTTTAATAACACAATAGACATCAGTTTAACTTTATAAGAAATTGCCAAGTTGTTTTCAAAAGTGGCCAATTGCTTTGTAATCCCACAATGAATGAAAGCTCTGAGAGCTAGGCATCTATGTCAGAACATTTTTTTTTTTTCCAAACTTTCATTTTAACTCTGCTTTCTGTCATAAACCATTTTGTAATGCAGATAACACAATCAGGCATAGAGTTTTAATTTCCTCATTCAAAGACTATCTCAGCCACAAACTATGTGATCAGGTGCATGAAATTGATAGTTTTTCTTATAAAATGTAATATTTACCCTTCATATCATTGACAGTATCTTCAAACAAGACAAACTTATTTTCTCAAAGCATCTGTTATATACTCACATGACTTTTGAGGCTTTGAGAGGTTGCTTTTTTAAAATTTCAGTTATCATATAATCTCTCAAGAATTGCGTTCTGTTAATAATCAGTATAAACAGAATACCAACTGTTATATATGCAAAATTGCATTTGATATTCACATGTAGTGATTCAAAGCAAGTCTAAAGAACATAGGTTAAAATAAATGATTAAACACATTACTAGATCAATCCTGTTTATTTAAATATATATATACACACCCATGATTTAAGTTTGCATGCATATATATATACATATATGTGTAATACATGCAATAAACACAGATTTATACATACATTTAAAATTTTTATTTCTATTTTAATGATGTCAATGATAAAAATTTTAATAATGTTTTCTTTTTACTTTTAAATCCATTACTTATTAATTTCTATCTAATAATATTGAAAGAACACATTAAGTTGAAAAATAATAAAAATGGCTGTAAACTATATTATTAAATTAAATACTATGTGTATAAGCATCTTAGATCATCATTTAATTACAGATATTGTCCTATTTCTATATATTATAACTGGATTATATACTACAAACAGTTCTGTAATATGGGTATTTGAAGTACATGCAAATTATGGGTTGGAAGACTGCATGTCAAAAGCTAATGACAATTACCGATTAAGTGTGATTTTTTTTAATTCATCACATTAATTCTATCAATTAAAATTAAATATAATAAAACCTATTTACTCTTAAATATTTAACATCATTAACAATTTTATGGCAGTTAATTGCATATACACACAGTGTGAAAGTAAACAGTTGTAAGTAAGCATAAAATTAAACATAAAACTATGAGTATTGTTTAAAATGTGTACTGTGGCTCAACTGGTAAGAATCTGCCTGCAATGTGGGAGACCTGGATTCGATCCCTGGGTTGGGAAGATCCCCTGGAGATGGAAAAGGTTAACCGCTAGAGTATTCTGGCTGGGAGAATTCCATGGACTCTATAGCACGTGTATAGTAGAGTACTGTAGTAGTCTATAGTACTCCATAGACTTCACAGTACATGAACCGTGAACTTCCAGTTGTTCAAGCTGGTTTTAAAAAAGGCAGAGGAATCAGAGATCAAATTGCCAACATCTGTTGGATTATTGAAAAAGCAAGAGAGTTCCAGAAAAACATCTATTTCTGCTTTATTGACTATGCCAAAGCCTTTGACTGTGTGGATCACCACAAACTGTGGAAAATTCTTCAAGAGATAGGAGTGCCAGAACACCTGACCTGCTGCTTGAAGAAATCTACGTGCAGGTCAGGAAGCAACAGTTGGAACTGAACATGGACCAACAGACTGGTTCCAAATAGGGAAAGGAGTATGGCAAGGCTGTATATTGTCAACCTGCT